TGCATATATACATACATACATACATACACACACAGGTATATATATATACTACACATACGGTACCAGTTCCACGTACTTGTCTAAAATGCCACGGTCTGAGTTGACGCGCCCGCGGATGTCACGCAATGTGAACAGAAACTCCACTTCAAAGTCAATGTCTCGTTTCTCATCCTCGTGGTCGGACTCTGCACCGATTTTGATGAAGTCAGCGTGCATATCCATTCGGTATGCAATAAGCATGTATGTGTCAGAAGGATATGTGTATGTAACAGAATGAGCATACATGTATTAGAAATACATACGTATGCACCCGATAATATATACGTGTTCACATGGATCTGTAGCATAGAAGGGATAACTGCTTCACAAGTGTATCTGGAAAAGGATGCGTGCCCCAATGCTCCATCATCGCCCTTACACATACGTGGAGGCGGCCATACGAGACGATATAATATTTCTGACAAGTTCTCCTATATATTTACGTCTGCATTATATATATACATACTTCAATGCGAAGTGTATATCAATAGACTATTTATATCCCTGTATATTCCCAAACACACGATCACTGAGAAGTGGGCATCAAAAAACCTTATATGAATCCCTATATACACATGCCTTGCGAAGTGTATATCAGTAGTCTATTTATATCTGTATATTCCCGATCACACTATCACTGTGAAGTATGCATCTAAAAATCTTATATAAATTCCTAAATACACTTGCACAAGCACATACCAGTGGGAGGGGGGGTGCACCAATGCTCCATCATCGCCCCTGCACACACGTGAAGGCGGCCGTACGGAATGTGCTGAAGTCGCCTTTTACTCAGATGAAACCGTTTCGTCGCCAGAAATAGAATACGCGCATACTGCCTGGGTGTACAATGGGGGTGCGTTAGATCGTTCGTACGTTTATCTACTACTTGACATATGGAGGAACGAAGCAGATCATCGCTGCATGCGCTTGCGTAATACATAGACGTACCTGCAACTAGCGAATCACACGTATCGTGGTAGAGATCTGGCACAAGACCACAGGCTAGAGCAATAGTGACCATATGAACAAATAGTACAGTGCCGACTTTGATTACACACACAAGCGGATAGGGTGAAGGAGGC